TTTTCACAACTGGGGAGCGGCACTTTTAGGTCTTTTAAAGAGTCAGCGTTAAATTGGGGCTGCACCGTGCCTTTGGTCAATTGTTTCACTTGTTTTCAATATTCGGAAGTTTTAGTGAAATATCAGTAATATTTGGGCAATATCTCTTGGGAGTTAAAATTAATTCTAATTAAGTAAGAGGCAAAGATAGACTTTTCTTGGCTCGTAAAAATGGCTGTTTTTCCCACTGAACCTATCCGAGCCATAAGGATATCATTTTCTTTTAACAAATATTTCTTTTTATCGGATTCATTTGTTAAATCAACATATTTTTTATCCCGGTCTGAAATGTTTCCATACTCGTCTATATCTGTAATTCTAATGAGCCTAAACTCTCCTTGCTTGCTGGCAGAAATAGTGTATCCATATTCAAAAGTAGCGATGGCTCCCAGTTTTTTAATCTGAACCTCCCCACAAGAGAGAGAGAGAGAGAGAGAGAGAGAGATGAACCAAGATTGTCAATAGTTTTTTGTGTATTCCTAATGCTTTCTTTAATTTTTTCTAAATCTTGCACCACTTTTTCTTGCTCGGTTAGAGAGATAATAGGCACGGGAATTTCTTTTAAATGATCTATTCGTAAATTTTCCATAACATCTTTTGCTAGACTATTATCTAGGAAAAACTTCTTTAAATTTGGTGATTGTAGAACAGCTAATAAATATTGCGGTAATATTTCCCCCCTTTGCTTCTCTTTAATTTTAATGATCACCAAGCCCATACTTCAGGCAACTCCTTTTTCGGCCGAAGCGGGGAAGAGAGAAACTTTTCCCCATGTTCCCGAAACACTCATGATAATATCATTAACTTGCAATTCGTATTTTTTCAATTGTTGATATCTCTCTTCACTAATATAGCGATTTCCTGAAGAAAAATCGCCACTAATGGCATGACTAGGCTGGTAAACTTTGGCATAGCCGCTGTTCGCAAACTCTTCCCTTTTTAATTCATAACAACCCCGTTTAAGTTCAGCAATCTCCGATAAAAGAAGATAACTCTTGCTGGTTTTTTTTAATAAAGAAAAATTGGGCGGTACAACTAGAAGGTTATATTTATCGTTCTCAATATCGCGATAATAAATCTTGGTAAACGAGGGAGAAACTATTTTTTCTTCGACTACTACCTCTTTTCAAGAAGAAACCAAAATATCTCAATCATTTACTCCCTCAATTCTATCCCGATGATTGTTTAAAGTAAAACCATCGTTCTTTATTTGGTAATAGTAGAAGTAATCTCTCGTTCTTTTGCTATTCTCGATAATAATAATCGAACTTTTACTTCCAGTATAAGGAAGGAATATTCCTTTCGGTAAAGAAATAATGGCTTGAATGGAATAATTCTTTATTAGCCATTTTTTAGTTTCTCGATATCCTTTTTTGCTTCTTTGATTAAAAAACCCTTCGGGCATAATCATCGCTACCCTCCCTTTAGATTTACAGGCTTTTAAACAATGTTGCAGAGCCAAACAATCACCATATTCGCAATTTATTGGATACAAAGAACCATAATCAATTTGGTCAAAGCCAAAAGGAATATTTGTTATTACTAATTCATATTTGTCCTCAACGGGATATTGAAAAGAATCTCTTTGTTGAATATTGTTATGGCCATCACCAAACAAAATGAAATTCATTTTCGTAGCTCGTGCCACTGTGGTTATTTCGTTGCCATAGAAGCAATCAGCCAGAATCTCTTTGCTTTCGGAGTCGAGTTTGATTCATTCACTTGCGTAGCGAAAACACTCGATAAGCATCCCCCCCGTGCCACAAAAAGGGTCATAAACTTTTTCCTTAAAACGAGGCTGCAAAATGGTCACCAAGTTTCTAATAATATGGCGAGGTGTAAAGTACTCACCCAAGTCCTTTCCTCCGGCATTATATCGCTGCAAAAAGTATTCAAAGGCTTCTCCCTTGATATCTCGCTCCGTCTCGGCCAAACACAAGGGATTAAGTTGACTAATTATTCTTTCAAGACTTTTAATATTTTTGATTTTGCTGTGTGAAAACAATTCTCCCTCTTGATATTTTTGGCGAAAGTAATCCAAGGCTTGATCAACACGACTTTTTAAATTATCGCCTTTTTCATTAGTTCAAGAATTTCACAAGTGCTTTTTTTCTACTGCCGATTTCTGTTTTTCAGCTTCAATTTCGCTAATTATTTTCAAGAAAAGAATATTGGCAAATTCACTAAACCGCTCCTCTCCCTTTCGCAAGCCTTCTTTTCAGAGTAAATCATTAGCTTCTTTAAAGATTTTGATTAATTCTTGCCGGGAAAGAACAACTTTATTTTCTTGAGTAATCAAGCGGGGCCGCTCATTGAATTGCAAGGCCTCTTGCTCAGTAAAAAGGTCCTTTACTTCTTCCCCATTACGAGTTAAAGTTTTACAAAAGTTGGTGTGATAAGTTTTGGTGAATTCTCCATTAGTAGCAATAACTAGTGGAGCTCCGATATCCCGTGCATAATTAATTCCTTGTTCTAGAGCTTGATGAATATTTTCGCTCGGCCCTTTGACTTCAATAATAACCAAAGGATTAGTAGTTCCCGTTTGATAAAGAATATAATCGGCTCGCTTGCCTTTGAGCTTTTTCTTTTGCTCTTTGGTAGCTGGTTGTTGTTTTCAGACATTTCGTTTGCTGCTGTGAATATCATCGACCCAACCTAATTTTCGCAGTTTAGTTTCCAGAAAAGTTTCGATATCCCTTTCATTGAAAGTAGTTTTCATGGCTCCGGCATTTTTCTGGTTATGCTGCTTGTAACCAGTTAATATTTTTTTATGGAGAAAGAGTAAGGCAAAAGGCAACTGCAGCTCTAATCAGAAAAAACGGAAATTTAGAGAATTTTTAGAAAAAAGTTAGTTTTAACCATAGAATAGCAAACGAAACGTAAATAGCAAAAATCTGTTTTGGATTAATTATTCCAGGTTTTTTGATTCAGATTTTCCAGAGCTTAAAGTGGCTAATAATTGACGATGTGAAACTAAGTTTTGGGCATTACTAATAGTTTTTTCCACAACTTGCTGAAAGGCTTGCTGATACTCGACAGTTTGTTGATTGAGCCATTCTTGAATCGAAGCATAAGGTCATTCCTGAGTTTGCTGATAAACCGTTAAGAATTCTTTAAATTTTTTCCGGCTCTTAGTTAGCAAATATTTTTTGTGCCAATTAGGTTTAGCTTTTTTCCGGACTTGGCCTATTATCCCCTCATAAAAATCGCGGACTTTTTGGTCACATCACAAGCGAGAATAAGAGAAATTCAAAATTTGCAAATAGTTAGGATTAGTAGCTCGGGATAAAGCTGTATAAACTTGGCCGCTCATAAAACAACCATTTAAATCAACTTTGAGTCGCTCGATACTTTGCCCTTGACTTTTGTGAATAGTAATCGCTCAGGCTAGGATTAAAGGAATTTGGGTTCTCGTAGCGGAAACAATAGGCTTATTCTGAGCATTATAACCGGCAAATTTTTCTCAAACGTGCTCTCTAATAACTAGTTTCTGGCCATCGGTGAATTTCACCAACGGATAAAAATTTTGTTCTTCACCTACAAAACTAATTACTACTCCTTGGCTCCCATTAACTAAGCCTTTT